AGAAAGAGAAAGGTCAAAGAGGTAGGAGCAAGAAGCAATAGAGTGCTGATGCACAGTCCCCAAGAGAGGAGGAAGTTTCCAAAAGAAGAGAGAGAAGCTAAGTGTCAAATGAGGCCAAGATGTTGAAGAGACATTGTAATAAGAGTTTTCATTTTATTTCCCACCCATGACATGTTTTAGATTCAGCTTTGATTATTTAGTGAGGGAATACACTTAGTCCAAGACCGTGCACACCTCATGATAGATGGCATTAATACTTGCATAGACGATAGATATATTTTTTTAATGTGGGAACTGGATGCACGCTTCTAAACACTAAAGGAACAGTTTTTAAAACTATATCTTAAATATGTGCATTTAAATAGGTGGCTCATGTCTGTAATTCCAGCACTTTGGGAGACTGCAGTGAAAGGATTACTTGAGCCCAGGAGTTCAAGACCAGCCTGAGCAACATAGCAAACACTTTTTTCTACAAAAAATATTTAAAAATTAGCCAAGCATGGTGGTGCACACCTGTAGTCCCAGCTACTTGGGATGCTGAGGTGGAAGGACCGACTGAGCACAGGAAGTCAAGACTGCCATGAATCATGATTGTGTACTCCAGCCTGGGAGACAGCGTGAAATTCTGACTCAAAAAGAAAAAAAAAGTATATTTCTGTTGTACTTTTACAAAGATTTCTTCTAAAGTCTCATGATTTGGGTTAATAGAGTAATTCCTATACACTTCTATCTTATCCTATGGAATTTTTATAGGAACAACAATGAAAAATGAGAGAAGAAAAAAAAAAGCAACTAGCCAGGTGTGGTGGCTCATGCTTGCTATCCCAGCACTTTGGGAGGCAGAGGCAAGAGTATTGTCTGAGTCCACGGGTTCAAGACCAGCCTGGGCAACATGGTGAGACCTCATCTCTACAATAAATCAAAAAGTTAGCCAGGTATGGTGGTACACGCCTGTGGTTACAGCTACTTGGAAGGCTGAGGCAGAAAGGTCACCTGAGCTCAGCAGGTCGAGACTGCGATGGCCATGAACGTGCCACTGCACTCCAACCTGGGTGACAGAGTGAGACTCTGACTCAAAAACAAACAAAAAAAACAGCAACTCTGAAGTCTATATCAGGCACTGGACTAGACATTGGTTGTGCAGAAATGAGTAAGATAAGCACTGCCCTTCACGCTCTGAACTAGCCATCTAGTTGGAGGAAAATATGAAGAAGGAGAAGAGCAGAGAGCAGTGGGAGAGTAGCAGGGACTTATGTCCAGGGCAGGCCTTCAGGGGAAGAGGTGTCTAAACTGATATCTGAGTTATGAGTAAGAGTCAAGAAAGAAGGTGGGGATGCAGTTGTGGGGAGTCTGATGGTGTCAGCTTGGTCAGACTACAACACCTATAATTCAATCAAACACTAATCTAGGCATTGCTCTGGGAAGTCTCAACTCTGCTTTTAAGGCTTTCCAGCTGACTAAATCAGGCACACTCAGATTATCTCCCTTACTTAAGGGCACTAATTATGAACTTTTTCACTTCTACAAGATACCTTCACAGCAGCACCTAGTTTAATGTTTGAACAACTGTAGGCTGGTCAAGCTGACACATGGAGTTGGCCATCATAGAAAGCTTTCCAGGAAAGAGATCAGCATGTACCATGTGACTATATTATACTACTGAAGTTTCAAATCTTTATTAAATTATTCTATATGATAGATCATTCTTATTAGTTATAATGAGGCTTAGTCCTAGGTTTATGTTCTCTTATTTATCTATTGTAATTGTTTAATGTGTATAAGAGTCCCTGGGTGATCATTTTATTCTTCAAATTCCTGAAGTTCATATTGTGCCTCTAATCATTAGCAGAGTAAGAAAATGACAGAACTTTTCTTTAATCCCTTTTTCTTTTTAAAAAAATTTTTATTTTAAATATGTGGGGTACAATTCAGGGTTAGGTATACAAATGTTCATTATGCAGATACCCTTTTTGACGAGATGTGCTCCCCGCCAGCAGTTTCCTACTACTGCCAGTCCCGCTCCCCGCTCCCCTGACAGTTTCCCACTACTGCCAATCCCTTTCTTATAGTATCATGATAGTTGTTCAAGGTCTGCTTATGAGTGAGAATATGTGAAACTCAGTTATTTGTTTCTGTGAAAGATCCTTCAGTATTATTGTCTCTAAGTCCATCCAGGTTGCTGCAAAGTTCATAATTTTGTCCTTCTTTATGACTGTGTAATATTCCATCGTGTATATGTACCACATTTTTTATTCAGTACTCTTTCGATGGGCAGCACAGTGGGTTCCATGCTTTTGCTATTGTGAATAATGCTGCAATAAACATGTGTGTGCAGGTATCTTTTTCATAGAGTGATTTTGAGTTCCTCCAGGTATATTCCCAGTAGGGGGATTTGGGGATCATATGGGAGGTTAATTTTTAGATCTTTTAGGAATTGCCACACTGTCTTCCACAGCTGCTGTACTAGTTTACACTACCACCAACAGTGTAGAAGTGATCCCTTTTCATCACATCCTCTCCAGCATCTGTGGTTTGTTGAGTTATTGATGATGGCCATCCAAACTGGAGTTAGGTGGTATCTCAGTGTGGTTTTAATTTGCATTTCTTTGATGACTAGTGAGGCTGAGAATTTTTTCATGTGTTTGATGGTTGCTCATATGTCTTCTTTTGAGAAATGTCTATTCATGTTTTTTGCCCACTTTGTAATGGAGATGTTTGTTTTTTTCTTTTTGGCACATTTGAGTTCCTTGTAGATCCTAGATGTTAGGCCTTTGTCAGATATACGGTGGGCAAATACTTTTTCCCAGCCTGTGGGCTGTCTCCCTGCTCTCTTAATGGTTTTTTTGACTTTGCAGAAGCTTGTCAGTTTGATGAGGTCCTACTTGCTTGTCTTATCTCTTATGGCATGGGCACTTGGAGTTTTGATCAGGAATTGGTTGCCAGTTCCATTTCCATAAGGGTGTCTCTTGTGTTTTCTAAGGTGCTTATAGTTTGAGGTTTTACGTTTAGGTCTTTGATCCATTTAGAGTTGATTCTTGTGCATGGTGATGGGTAAGAGTCTTGTTTTAATCTTCTGCATGTGGTCGGCCAGTTTTCCCAAAACCATTTACTGAATAGGTTCTCCTCTCCCCAGTGGTTGATGGTGGAGGCTTTGTTGAAGATGGGTTGGTTGAGAAACTGAGATTTGCTTCTGGACTCTCTATTGGTCTATATGTCTGTTCTTGTACCAATACCAGGTTGTTTTGATTATTTTAGCTTTATAGTAAAGCTTAAAGTCTGAGAGCATGATGCCTCCCACTTTGTTTTTGTATTTTTGCGGAGGATTGTTTTGGCTATTCATGGTCATTTATGTTTCCATATGAATTCCTAAATTGTTGTTTCCATGTCTGAGAAGAATGCTGGTGGTAATTTAGTGGGTATTGTGTTAAATCTGTTGATTGCCTTGGATAGGATGGACATCTTTTCTTTAATTCCCTTTTCTTTAATTCTCTATATATTAACAAACCTTTCTGACTTCCTAAAGTTAAGTACTTTACAGTGAGCTTCAAGTACTAATGAATTATAAGTTAGTTATAAACATGATATTTACATAACCAGACTAATAGACAAACCTCTGTTACAAATTAACATGATTGTAAATTTAATATCTTCTATTTTATTATTTCCTTTTTTAAGTAAAAAGACTTCATTGAAATATAGAGTGTGGTTTCTACTACAATTGCTAAGATAGTCCTAGAAAGTGATCAATAAATTCTGATTTCTGAGCAAAATGTAAAACAGACAGTTAGCTATGTTAGTTCAAAGTCAGAGGTCACCTAAATGAGGAAATTAGGGCAATGGAAGATAAGAATAAAATTAGACGGGACCAGAAATAATTAAATAAATGTTATATATTGTACTTGCAAGCAACATGGGTCGGTAAACACAAGTTTTAATGGAGACATCAAGTGATTTTTTTATAGAATCAGTATCATTGATCTGGGAGGTTGAATTTAGTGAAGAAATTTGTAGTGGTTATTCTAGGCTAAAGCAGTAAGTTGTGCATGGAAATATTTATTTCTCTATCTCTCAATTTGAATAAAAGCACAATAAACAGAAAAAAATAGAAGTCCAGGATCTGAAAAATCTGCTTTAAATAAAAGAGTAAAGTTCCCTATAAAGTTCCCCAGTCTCCCCAGAAGTAATGACTGTCAATATTTGTATGCATCAGTTTCTAGACTTTACCTTATGCTTCTTGTGATCTCTGTGTGTGTGTGTGTATGTGTGTGTATGTGTGTGTGTGTATGATGCAGCCACTTGCACACACACACACACACACACACACACACACACACTTTTCAGTTTTTCCTTCCTTCCTATCTTCTTTCCTTTCTTCCTAAAAAATAGCATAATTCTATACAAATTGGTCAAAAACTTACTTTACTTGCTTAGTAAATAATGGTTATACTTCTGGGTCAACACATACAAATCTGCCTTCTTATTTTTATTGGCCAGTGTACTTTCGGTTAGAGGTTTCAGAAATTAACTATTCCTCAGTTGATGGTTGGTTGTTTTCACTCTCATTCCAATAGTAAATTCCAGCTGCCTTTTGTTGTAATATATCATGTATTGTTTTGAATAAAAAATACTGCATTGAACATGTTTGTCCATATATATTTAGGTTTTGTTGTCATTTTGTCTGTAATGTGAATTCCATGAAGCGGGATAGCATCTTTGGAAGTACACAGAGATTGAATTTTTACTTATATTGTCAAATTCTCCCTACTATGATTCCCATTTTCGCTCAGTCAATATATGAAAATACACATTTCCTCAACTCTTTATTAATCATTCAATATTTTTTCTAATCTGATAAGCAAAAAGTTTCTTTTGCAATAAAACATTACATTACATTTATTAAATTATTTAAAGAAGAGGAGTAAATGTATTTCTGAAAATTTCTTCTAAGAGCACAATATGGGCTCCATGGCAGAGGTAGAGATGGTAGGCAAGAAAACACTATGGAGGATTTTGTGTTACTAAAAGTCAGAGCTCATGAAGGCTTACATGGGCAGAAGGAGGTGCTTCTGTTTCCAGTAACTGCATGTCAGCTAGCCTTATACCACTATTAAGAATGTATGGGCATGATTTGACAAGTATTTCTTTAAAAACAAAAAAGTGTGGTTTTTTTGAAGTTAGAAAACATTCAGTACTTTCAAATTGTGCAATACATTTAAGACATTATGTATTCAATGACTTGAGTTTAAATGATGAATCCATTAATATGTTTCTTAAAATATAGACCATAGTCTTTGTCTTCCAAAGGATATTTTAATCAAAATATTAAAAATAAGCTGGAGTCTCATTCAAATAGTTAATTCCAGCTGCCTTTTGTTGTAATATATCATGAATTATCTCTCTGATGGATGGGTAGCCAAATGCAGATAAAATTAGCTTTGCAGTCATTCATTTTAAATTGCTCTTGAATCATTTGAAAGTAAATTCATTTCAGAAGAATACGCTTCAGGTCTCAGACAAAGAGATAATGGTTCTATATTTTATGATATAAGCAATAATAATTTAAGTCTTATGATTCAGAAATATAGAAACTTATGTATTAAGTTGATGAAAATTAAGGCTTGATATATAGCAATAAAACCAGCAACCTAAAGCTTCCTAGATTGATGTTCACAGCATAATATTTTCCTGTCAAGAATTAGGTAGAATGAAAGTCTATAAAAATAATACATGGTGCAAATCTTTCTCTTCTTGGATATAAATGAAAAAGCAAAAGCCTATATGAGATAACAACAAAGAAAATACTGAGATTTACTGATATCAAGATAAAAATGGTACTACTGTTGAAATGTCATTATTGAGTAATAGTGGGAAGTAGAAAATTAACTCAAATGTTGGAGGACGGTAAAATGAATAATAATGTGACATCTAAGTCAAAAAAGGCTGTAAGTTAATACTGATTTCAATGTACAGAACCAAAGCAACTTTGGGCATTTGTTAATTTGAATGAACTAGCCATAGAAAACATGTTTAACAATTTAAAATAATCAAGTCATTTTGCCTAAATAGCATAATGTGGTCACTATCAGCAGCTGGAGGTGGGCATTTATGGAAAATATAATAATTAAAGATACCTGTGGCATGTTGCCAGAAATAAGTTTTATAGTCTGACGCTGTTTACAAATTGAGTTCCTACATCAGACCCTGATATCTCCCTACTGAAAAAAGTTCAAAAAAATTTTTTTTTTTTTTTT